AATAGACTCAACTTTATCTGAACTGTGCATAGAATCTCCAAAAAACACTGGTTTCGCTCTCCTGGCTATGTTGTATAGATGCTACGATTAATTGTAATCTATGGTCACGGGTGTACAAGCGTATTTGTTTATTTCTTTTATTTTTAGTTATTACAATTAGTAACACGCCATTTAAACATGGAAACAAACACTGACAATGTTTCATTTCCATGTAAATATAGAATCATAAATAAAAGAGAACCATTATACAAATTTGTGAATAATTTGCACAACTCAATGAGCGTTCAAGTGACAATGTCCATGATTGTATGACGTCGTCTGGGTATGGCGTCATGTGATGTAAAGTTAGTGATTGGTCAAACATCTTTATAATTCGCGACAACCGCGGTGCAAATTCGGTAGATGATTCGGTCTCGCGAGATTTATCTCAGATCACGTCGAATGTTCTTGGAAGTTGTAATACAGTCCGCAAATTTGGTGGATTTTTTTAGAATGTCACGCAATGATATTGGTATGAATAAATTATCTTACATGCTCGGTTTCGACATAACCAACGTCACGCTTTCCATTGGTAAGGTAAACTTCCAGACAAAAGAATGTAGTGACGTCACAAGTCACGTGTCAATCGACATTGTTTTAGAATTTCAGACCGCGGCTGGCCTCGGTTCTGGTGGTTCCAGTTCGCACTGATAAACTCGCGATGTCTGCTCTACTGAAAAAGCGGAGTAAGCCACAGTACCGCCAACAACGACGGCGACGAACACCCAGCAATTATACGACATGACGAGGAGCATGATGACGTAAGCCATAACTACTTGAATCACATGCAACAAGGTCGACGTTAAGCGATACTGTAACCTGCAAATAAACAAATATCAATTAATAATACGTATTAGTTGAATGTATTTTGTTTTGCATTTATTTTTTAAAGCTGCAATAAGAACGAACATTTTTTTTTTAATTTATGGTTTTGGCCAAATTAAACATTGATTTGCCAAAAAACTAAAACGCTGCTTTTGCATCGCACACTGTGTCCATGGAAGGAAAATATATATGGTAATATAGTTATTACGAGAATACCTCAAAGTATACACTCAGACAGTACGCCGCACATCGACCTCCGCTGCGCGTCGGTCGATACTTTAGCTGTACTGTCTTCGTATTCTCGTAATAACCTCATATTCATTCGAGAAAAATACATCAATATGCATGATTAGTGATTGCCATTGTACATACCAAATCACACAACTAACGAAATCGTATATTTAAACATGATAATGATATGTAAATAATACTGTCTCATTACATTTTACATCTGCTACGATTTCCGTAATTAGTATCTGCTTTCTTCATTCTCTTGTTACTCTCTGACCCTGTTGATAACACAACTTTCTTCTCCCTAGAATAATACACGCTTTGTTCTGAAAAGTCAGTTGTAAAAATGTCATCGCCCGGTGTCGAGCTATCATTAAAATAGCAAATCCTATCAGATTGTTTTCGAGAGCGAGTCAATGTGTCGTCATGGTGGCGCTCTTTCTTGTCATTCTGATCCCGATAGCTACCTACGACGATGTGCAATTTTATCTCTTCCTCTGACACATGTGTCAGGTGACGATTAACCGGTCCGACTTGGGGATACAAACACGGGTCACCGTGACCTATTTCGCTGTGTTGATTATTGTCTTCAGGGAAAATGTTGTCATTATTTGTCGATATAAAATTTGTTTCGCCATTACAGAGGATGTCGGTAACTGCACTCTCTGCTGTCTCTGCTATGAGCAGTTTTTCTGACATGAGACTTGGAACACGAGACTTGTCGCACGACTTCCTTACCAAGCTGTCACTCGAATCTTGAATGGAATTACCACTCAATTGTTTCACTGTCTGTCCAGATGATGTAGTCGTTTGTGTGAAATCACCCGTATTTCTTGGAGCACGTAATTTACGTAGATTCGACGTATGTAGATTTTGCTGGTCTCCTGAACCTTCATTTGTTTTGCACACCGGGCGATTAACAATGTAATCTGTGGACAGTGTATTTATGTTTCCATAGTCGATACTATGGTTATTTTCATGCATAATTGCCTTCTTTCCTAATATATAGCTACGTGAGTTCTTTCCTTCGCAGGTGAGACGACTTACTTCTCTGTTGTTTCCATTGGAACGATTAAGATTCTTTTTAAGCGAGATTGTATTTTCTCTAAAGATGGAACTACTAGTATTTTCCTTGTTCTTGCAGGTAACATACCTGTTTTCTCTTTCTTTTCCGAGACGTCTCTTTCTTTCTTCGTATAAAATATGTTTAGATAGCTTAGTTTGCATAAACCGCACTGCTTCGAAACAGAACATCCAGAAGAACACCAAAAACAGACAACACGCAAATTCTGTATAAACACACAAACAAAATAGTTAATAATAAACTTAAAGTAAAGAACTGGTTGACAAAATACTGCAGTATCATGTCGTAATTCTCAGTACCTCGAATGCAAATGCGGGCGTGATTCGCGCATTGCATCATCACGGGGAAGGGTCGACATATAGTAGACATTCTCAAAACACACTCGAAGAACTGACTACTGATGTTTTACTGGGTATATTTTATTATGTATCAAATTGTTCTTCAGAAGCTTATTATAAATTATATAGACTTCCATCCGGTTTGACCGCTTAAAAACGTGAAACAAAACTGGCTTACCGATGGAGGTATTAAGACAAACTCGGTTCCATACCTGAAACAATTTCTTGGGAAAATATCAATTTACATGTCTGACTAAATATAGTCAATTTTGGATCCCCAAGAAGGGAATGAGGAACGATTGTATTCATAACCTTAATGGTATGTTTCTTTTCATTTAATTCCTTTGTCAACCATTATTTCATATATTTTCATGTTTTTCAGTGTTGAAAATATACAATATAAAACAGAAATAACAAATTTAACTTTAAAATGATGTTGCCACTGAAATCTTGAAGAGAACGAAATCTCGAGATATGTAATGTATGACCGTGACGAGAATACATTTTTAGAACTTATATTTTTAAAAGCTTGCAAACAAGACTCCACAATAAATATATATTTAGAAGGTTTCGGAATGTAATCACAGTTCCGAAATATACTATCTATCTTGTCAGTGAATATGGGAAATCATCACCGCTCTTTGTTTCCTCATGGCATCATGATCCAGATAGTTCTGAACCTTTTGGTGACGTTCTAAGAACGAACGACTTTCTATATATTATGCATAAATTACGCGCGTTAACGATAGTATATTTTCAAATACCGGTAAGCAAGACCCAACAAATGAGTTCTGTTGATAGTGGTTTGTATGATGAGTGATTCGAAATTGATATCTTGACTGGATCAAGTTGCATTATGGGTAATTGAATAACGACGTCAGTCTCGAAGCAGGCCGCCACCCTCGAGTGATGGCAATGTCAATAACACTTGAAAAGTGTAAACTCACCTGTCGTGGTTGCAGTATTCAATCCTTCAACTAATACGTTGCGTAGAATGTGACCTCCATGTAAATACGTCTAAATAAATAAATTGTATGAATGAAAAAATTATGGAGAATAAATGAATATATTTAAATATATTTGTGAAGTATTTCATAACGTATCCCAACATAGTAATCAATCCAACACATCCACTTATACCCTGGCTATGCAGTACAGCAAGTAGACTTTACAAATAATAGTAACTCCCCTTGACCTCGGTCATTTGTCCGATATCGAGTTTATGACTGTCTTGTTTACATTCGGGGTCATACTTTTGGGGTCACTCTAGATAGAGGTCCGAACACAATACATCAATATACAGTACCATACTATAAGGCACCAATCACCCGAATATGAAAAATTTACATTCCCTTTTACGTGCTTTATGTGAGGCAACTGTAAGACACAGCTTTTATGTTGCATTGGAAATTAAATTGGTACAGTTGATTTCCGATTCCCACCCACAATATCATGTAAGGTGTTTACGGGATACAGTGCGCAATCCACCCACAGGACAGACGAACAAACATTACCTGGTGACCATTATTAAGGTTGACCACATGGTTATCATGTGATGGAGCCGTCGCCGTCGAACTCATCTCTATTTTCATGATGACCGCCTCCATCAGCGCTCGACTCTGTCACGGTGGCAAATACACATTCGGCGATCCAGCAATGACCGTGAAAATGACACCCGTGATATTAACGGGATGAAATACTAGTAAAACATTTGAAACATACCCGCATATCACTAAACAAACACACTCACACAGTCACGTGATGGAGGCCATTTCACACGTGATCCGAACAATTGTCTCCGAAGAGCTGTGACACGAAAACATCTGTCGATACTGATCTGTATAGGGTACGATCAGGGTACATTGTTTGTTTGCACGAAATTTTGAACGCGCATTGCACGACGACTGAAATGTTTTAATAATAGACACTGCAGTTATTTTAGAAACTAAAAATGAGAGTAAGATCTGATTGGGGAAAAATCGACTACCGTACTTAAATTATACCTCCCCAGGGAAGTGAATACAGGTGTGCGTACATTTAGAAACAGCCATATTGTGCCCTGTAATGCCCACTATCGTCACTGTGTGAAACACGAAATAATGTAATACAATATACATGTCCTTGGCAGAGCTGAATTTGTAACTGTGCTGACCAGAAAGCAATAATGTTCAATTTGCGAGTTATAGCGCCATCAGTTGGGTTCCCTATGAGAATGAGAGGCTTTCTAGCTCGCGCAATTTGTTCGTTGGTATCCCAGGTTCCCGGCGTTCTGATGAGCCATCAGACGTTTACACTGCAAAATCACCCCCTACGAAACTTGTATATTGATATTGTATACGTTCTAAAAGATATTACTGGGACGTAGTTCCGTGTTTTTTTTGTGTGTTTTTTAGTACATGAAACACATAATTACGTAATGAGTGACCCTGCAACTATTTTGTTGTGTAAAGTTATGTATTAGTAATGTATAGAAATATATACATGTGCGGGTAATTATTATAAGAAATGATGAACGAAAAAAATACACAGATAAAAAAAAATGTTGCATAATATATTTTGAAATATGCAAAGGGTGCCCGCATATAGAGAAAAATAAGATGATAATATTTTAAGTTATACAATTTGTTTATTTTAATAAATAGTAATCGAACACACCGACCACAATAATACGTCGGTATAAAACTATAACTAGGATAAAATCTACTGTTCAAAATTGAAACGTCACTCTAACCAATGAGCTTAATATGCTTTAGAGATTGGCAACACCACTTGTTGCTTCAGCCTCTGGCGGTAGAAGTGGCGCCCGGAAAGCCGCTTGTGTTACCCTGTATACCGCTGAGGGAAGTATAATCGAAACGGAAACAATTTACGTGATGGACAGAGGCTAATAAAGCCACGTGGATAATACACAGATGAAGCGCCCGCGGGTGTAATTGTGATAAGATATTACGGCGAATCCTCTAAATATGATTAGATTCTAGCAGTCGTCTTGAATCTCCATATACTTCAGATCTGTTCGTTGATATTCTAATACATATAGTGAATGGGGGTCTACATTGGATACAATTAAATATATACAACAAATATAACGACTGATCACGTGGAGATACAAGTACACATATGATATAACACTTTTAGACTTTCAAATCAGACGATGGCATATATGCAATTACATCACTTTGATAGACAGATATAAGTACGCTATTTTTTCTAATTGTCGACAATAACGTCATAATGAACGAACGTGATAATGACAAATAGGAAGACAATGAGGTCGGAAAAAA